AGATCTGGAAAAAGATTCAGGCTGTAGATGCCTTTGTAGAATAGCAGCACTACAGAGGATAATTAAACGATGGGGGGAATAGCCTTAGAGGGCATTGAGAGAGAGCAAGGATAGGTAAACAAGCTAAAGCCAGCTTATTTGTATGCCTCAGAATTCCCTCAGGACCCAGCTGTTACACTGGGTAAGAATGAGTCATTTTAAGAGTCTAAGGTATTTGGGAATATTGCATAGTTGGAAAAGACTAAGAGTGAAACAGAGCAAGTATCCTAAATTTTTATATACACAAGAGGTCCTTGCAAGGAAACCCTGAAAAGGAAATAAGATACCATTTAGCCCCTTTTAAAGTGAGAGGAAGATATCATTCATGCTGTAATCTAGGAATTTACATAGACTCTTTAGATAGATTGGACTTTCCTGCAGAACTTTTCTCAGGGAGAGGAACTCTAGAATTTTGCACACTGTTGGTATACCTCATCATGAAAAGTCTGTCAGTCTTTTACACACACACACACACACACACCACACACACACACACACACACACACACACATATATATATATATAAAATCAGGACATGGGAGAAGGAATTGGCCCTTGAAATTCAGGATCCAGGGCTGAAAGGAGGAACTGGTTCAAGAACAAATACTCCAGGGTGGGCATTTTGCACGTGGATAAACACTGTTTGGGATGTCTGCATTCCCTCTTAGAGAGCCTTCATTCCAGTCCCAGTTCCATTTACAATTCCACTTTCCAGCTAATGGGCACATGGAAGACTCAGAATGGGTCCAGGCTCCTGGATTTGACCTGGTCCAGCCCTGCCTGTTATGGGCATTTAGGGAGTGAGCAAAGATCTTTGTCCATCTCTCTGCCTTTCAAATAAAATAAAAATATATACATGCATGCACAGAAATACACACAGTCATCCCATCCCCAATAAAAAGCAAAGTATTAGCAACTAGATCTACAGCAGAGAAAGAAAATCAAATTGGAATTTTCAGATGGGACTAACCTTGTTAGTCTCTTAAGTTTGTAATGACCACCATTAAGCACTTATCAAACTGTCATGAACTTTGGGGAGTGGTAATAGGAAAATAACACAGAAAAGATAAACAGGAAACTAGCAGGAGAAAGAATTTATTGGACCGGCACTGCAGCTCAATAGGCTAATCTTCCACCTTGCGGCGCCAGCACACTGGGTTCTAGTCCCGGTCGGGACGCCGGATTCTGTCCCGGTTGCCCCTCTTCCAGGCCAGCTCTCTGCTGTGGCCAGGGAGTGCAGTGGAGGATGGCCCAAGTGCTTGGGCCCTGCACCCCATGGGAGACCAGGAGAAGTACCTGGCTCCTGCCATCGGATCAGCGCGGTGCGCCAGCCGCAGCACGCCGGCCGTGGCGGCCATTGGTGGGTGAACCAATGGCAAAAGGAAGACTTTTTTCTCTCTGTCTCTCTCTCTCACTGTCCACTCTGCCTGTCAAAAAAAAATAAAAATAAAAATAAAAAAATAAAAAATAAAAAATAAAAAAAAGAATCATCATCATCAAAACGTCCATACTACCAAAAGCAATTTACAGATTCAATGCAATCTCAATCAAAATATCAATGGCATTCTTCACAGATGTATAAAAATGATGCTAAAATTCAAATGAAAGCACAAGAGACTCCAAATAGTTAAAGCAATGTTATACAACAAAAACAAAGCCAGAGACATCACAATACCAGATTTTAAGACATACTACAGGACAGTTAAAACAGCCTCATATTGGCACAAAAGCAGACTTGTAGAACAAGAGAACAGAATGGAAATTCCAGAAATCATTCCATGCATCTACAACAAACTTATCTTTGTCAAAGGGGCTAAAATCAATCCCTGGAGCAAGGACAGTCTCTTGAACAAATGGTGCTGGGGAAACTAGATCTCCACGTGCAGAAGTATGAAATTAACCCATACCTTACACTTTACACAGAAATCTACTCAAAAGGAATCAAAGACCTAAATCTAAGACCTGATAACATCAATTACTAGAGAACATTGGGGAAACTCTGCAAGATATTGGCATAGGCAAAGACTTCTTTTAAAAGACCCCAGAAGTACAGCCATTCAAAGCCAAAATTGACAATAAATATAAATTTTAGACAAAAAATATAAATTGACAATAAACAAATTATATCAAGCTGAGAAGCTTCTGCATTGCAAAAGAAACACTCAGCAAACTGAAGAGGTAATTGACAGAATGGTAGAAAATATTTTGTAAACTACTCAACAGATAAAGAGTTAACATTTAGAATCTATAAAGAGCCCAAGAAATTCAACAACAGCAAAACAAATAATCCAGTTAAGAAATGAGCACATAACTTGAACCAGCATTTTTAAGACAGGAAATTCAAATGGCCAACAGACACTTTCAGAACATGCTCAGGATTGTTAGCCATCAGGGAAATGCAAATCAAAACCATGGTGAGGTTTCACCTCACTCCAGTTAGAATGGTTCTCATACAGAAATCAACAAACAACAAATGCTGGCCAGTGAGGGGGAAAATGTACCCTGGTCCACTGTTGGTAGGAATATAACCTGGTCCAGCCACTGTGGAAGACAGTATGGAGATAACTCAGAAATCTGAATACTGACTTACCATATGATACAGCCACCCCCCCCACTCCTAAGAATTTACCCAAATCAAAAGAAATCAGTATCTGAAAGAGTTATCTGCACCCCCATATTGATTATAGCACAATTCACAATAGCTAAGATATGAATTCAACCCAGATGGCCATCAACTGATGACTAGATAAAGAAATTATGGTATATATATACTATGGAGTAATATTCAACTGTTAAAAAATGAAATTCTGTATTTTGCAACAAGATGGATGCAACTAGAAATCATTAGAGTGAAATAAGCCATTCCCAAACAGACAGATATCATATGTTTTCTCTAATCTGAGGTAACTAATAGAGTACCTGAAATGTAACATTGGAATGAAATAGACATTTTGAATTCAACAGTTGTTTACAACCCTTCTCTTTTCCTTTGAGGAAGTGTTTTTCTTTCTTTTTTTTTTTCTCTTCATACTGTTTGTTGAACTCTTTTACTTAGTGTAGGGTTAACTATATGACCATTAAGTAAACTGAAAATAGACCTTTGTAAAAATCAGGAGTGAGGATGTGAGAGGGAAGAGAAGGAAGGGTTGGAGCATGGGTGGGAGAGGAGTGTTAGGGGGGAAGTGTCACTATGTTCCTACATCCATATATATAAAATACTTGAAACTTCATAACTTAAATAGAATTAGAAAAATTTTAAAATATAAAAAAATTATCAATACAAAAAAATGAATGGGTATTGGAGAGGGAGGAGGAGGAAGGATGGGGGCATGAGACAGGGGTAGGGTGGGATGTATCACTGTGTTCCTGAATTTGTATATAGGAAATATATGAAATTTTCACACCTGGAATAAAATTTAAAAATAAAAAAGTTCAGTATTATTATTTAATAAGTAAAGCACTAATGGTGCTGAATATAAAATATATAAATTATCTTAATTTTAGCTACTAGTTACTGAATACTTATGATGTCCATGGTTTTACATTTAAACTCATTTAATAATACCCCAAATCCATATGATGAAATTTTTTTACATGATGAAGTTTCCTAGAATGTGCCTTCTCTGTTGGTCTCTAAAGATTTTTTCCAAAGACTTATTTGTTTATTTGAAAGGCAGACTAGGAGAGAAAGAGAGAAACAGCACATGCGAAAGAGATTTTTCATTCGTTGGTTCACTCCCCAAAAGGGTGCAGCAGCTGGGTCCTGGCCAGGCCAAAGCCAGGAGCCAGAAACTCCATCAATGTCTCCCAGCAGCAGCCCAAAAACCTTCCCAGACACATTAGCAAGAAATTAGACTGGATTGGAACTGGGGCTCTCATACAGAATGCTGATATTGCAAGCAGTACTTAACCCGCTGTGCCACAACCACAACAGGGCTCCCACAGCAAAGATTAAGCAATGACTTACCAGGATTAATAATCAAAGACTAATTTCTTGGGTGTCTCTCATTTTTTTAAATAGTTATTTTATATGCCACCATAGGTCTAGTTAAAATACCTTAAGACCTTTTATAGTTTTACTAATTCTGTTGCTTCATTTTGAACTCCTTGAGCCTTCAGAATTTAATGTAGCCATTATGGATCACAAAGATCTGCATTACAATCCTGTCTCTGTCATTATCCCTGGATAAATGAATTAGAATTTCTGAGCCACACCAGCATAGTCTTGTGAATGACACTGCTTTACCTCAGGCTGTTATAACACCACAGTTTGGGTAGCTTAAACAACAGACATTTCTCTGGAAGCTGGGCGTCTGAGAGTAGGATGGATATAGGTAAGAGGTTTCTTTGTCTCCTTGCTGTGTTCTCTGTGTCAGAGAGCAAGCCAGTACTTTCTTTTAGAAGGACACCAACACCATTATGGGGATTTCATCCTCATAATCTCATCCAAACCTAATTACCTCCCAAAGGCACTACAACCAAATATTGAGGGATTCAACTTCGTTGAAACAAACATTCAGATTTTAATACCCACTGCATGGGGTTCCTCAGGCTTAGACTAGATAATAAGAAAGCACTTATAACAGCGCCTGTCTACAGTCCAATGTTTGAATAAATACTGAGACCCTACACGGAGCCAAGCATTGCACCTGCGCATCCCAGTGCTGTATTGGGGAACAAGTCAGATGTAGCCAGTCTCTGGATATTTGTAAGTTTTGGAATACAGGGGTAAACGCGCGCGTGCGCACACCCACACACACACATGCATATAATACAGATCGCGGTGATACAAAACACCTGAGGGAGAGTCTTTGCAATGCTTCGTTATTCCCAAGTATCATTATCCTTAGAGAGCCTCTCTCTGATGATTACTAGCTGTGTTCTAGTTTGGCTTTCTTGGTTATACTTGGTTCATACCCCACAGCTGGGGCGGGAAGGAAACACATACTCTTGAGAGGTACCTCAGCGTCACAGCAAAGCTCTTCCAAGTTCGACAGCAGTCCCAACAGCGCTCTTCACAGAGAATGCTCAACCAGAACTTTCTACGTTTGTGAATTTTCCCTCAGTTAAATCCGGCCGCAGGTCCCTAAGACCACTGCTCCCCAAATTCAGGGGCTTGCCTTTCCTCCCTGGCTTTACGCTTTCAGGGGAGCGCTCACTACTTCGGGGCCCGCCTCCTTTCCCGCCAACTTCAGGCGCCCACGGGCCCGTGCCCCGCCCCTCTGGGCCCGCGCGCACCCGGGCGTGTAAGCCGCTGCCCTGATAGGTTCCGTCCGTAGGCCCCGCCCACCCCGCCCTCCGGCGTGCTCCCGCGGCCCCTCCCCTCCAGGTCCCGCAGGCAGCTCGGGCTCACGATCACGCCCTGATCGACCCCGTCCGCAGACTCCGCCCACCCCGTCCATCAGCGCGCTCTCACCGCCCCGCCCCTCCCGAGCCCCACCCCCCGCCGTCCCGCCAACCCAAACGCGGGAACCGTTTGGCTCGGAGCTTGTCGGCCGCCCCGGGAGCCCGCCGTCGCTTCTCGGAGGAGCCTTTCCCGCGAAAGCGGGGGCGATGCAGGGGCATCGGCAGCCGAGGGTCCGCTCGGGGAACCTGCCTTGGCCCGCGCCAGCCATGGATCCGGCGGGCGGTGGAGCCTGGGCCCACAGCCGCGCCGCGCTCGGCCGCCTGGAGAACTTGCTGCGCTGCTCGCGCTGGTGAGGACGGAAGTCGGAGGGGGTGGCCGCGAGGCCGAGGCCTGGGGCGGGAGGCCGTTTCCAAATCTGCCGTTGCCTGGTGCCTCTCAGTCCCTGCCCAGCGGATCTGGTGTGGGTCAGCCCTCCCTGGCCCCCATTCTTATCCTCCTGGGCGGCTTTCCTGTCCCCTTGGGCTCCGAGCCCAACTTCCAATGGCAGTTGTGCAACTTCAGTGAGGCGGAGCGGCCTGGAGGTGGGGCTTCCCCGACCCCGGCTCCGCAGCGCGATCCGCGGGGCCGGGGCGGGGCGGGACACCCAGGCCCGCGGACTTTGAAGCAGCCGTGGCGCGCTTTGCTTGGGTGGCTGTGTTTGTTGGCATGTCCCCTAGCAGCTGCCTGAGAGGGGACAGCGCGGAGTGTTTGGGGACCTTTCTTAACGGGAGTTTGGAGGTTGCCCTGTGATGGGCGCCATCAATCCAGTTCTCATGTCCTTGGATGGCCCAAAGACTGGCGATCTTGCAGCTCTTAGATCTTCCATCCGCTGGCTCACTCCCCCAAACGGCCGCAGTGGCCCCGCGGAGCAGGCAGAAGGCAGAAGCCCGCAGTTCCATCCTGGAGCCTAGGCGCTGCTTTCCCAGGCACGTTAACAGGCAGCTGGATCAGAAGTGGAGCAAGCAGGACCGGAACTGGGTGACCCAGGCTGGGGCTTAACCTGCTGCGCCGCGATGCCGGCCCTGTCCCACAACTTTTCATAGTATAGAAACTAAGAAGATTTATAAAAACCAAGGGCTTGGCTCCGTTTCACTTCTAAAAGGACTCACTGAGCACTTGCTGTATGCACGGCTCAGTATTTCTGTATCAAGATGGCTCTGGTGGTTTTTCTGTTTGCCTGCAGCTGTCATGACCCTATTTCTTTCTGAGGATCTGTTTTGATTGTTTTCACCCCTGATTTCCAACTTGCAGAATTTTATTGCTGCTGTTAAGTAGTGTAGCACGTGAAGTGTAAGTAACAGCAGCCTTTTCTTTAAAAATGAGAACTGAGCTGTCACAGAATTTTGCATTTATAGTTTTACAAAAACTTAGTGTCTGTGACAAATGACATTACACTCCCTAAAAATTGATGCTTTTGCCAGAATGAGTACATGAGGATATCCTGAGTTGTGTTTTCCACAGTACAGGGTTTGTGCATCTGAGAGTAAGAAACATGTAACTGTGCCTGCTAGTTGTAATAACATAAGCAATTATAGTCAACAACTTAATAGTTTTAATAGAAGTTAGACATTCAGGAGGCCTTGTCTACGTGGAAGCTGAGAGCCTCACTTAGACTATAGAGTCAAAACTGAGTTCAGGTTCTAGCTTGGATGCTATTAAGAGGGCCTCATCATTCAGCTGCTCTGTGCCTCAGTTTCTCCTGAGTAACAATGATTTGATCAATTGTATGTGTAAACTGTTGAGTGTGGTAGCTGTTGTGAAATAAATAATACATCATAAAAATAAAAAATAATAAGATCTGTTCTTGCCAGATGACTTGGGAGAGAGAAAACAGGTAATTGATATGAGTAATCTATAGGCGGTCTTGGAATCTAACAAAGCCAATTTCACTTTTTATTCTCTACCAGATATTTTCCAGTTTTTAAATGAAATGAGTAGATAGTAAGAGCCAAAAGACTGAAGATAGATATTAGCCATACCCAGACTTTTAATATAGCTCATCCAGTTTGCTAGTGAATGATATTGAATGCTAGTGAGTTTTTAAAAATTATTTATGATGGATAAACTATATCATAACTTTTTCTTATAATTCATATTTTCACATAGGCCTTGGCAAATTTTTTCTATAGCTCCACTGCACTCCCTGGCCATAGCAGAGAGCTGGCCTGGAAGAGGGGCAACCGGGACAGAATCCGGGCGCCCCGACCGGGACTAGAACCCGGTGTGCCGGCGCCGCAAGGTGGAGGATTAGCCTATTGAGCCACGGCGCCGGCCTTTTGCTGATTTTTTAAAAGTGCTAATTTGGGGTGGGGGAGAAATCACCTATTTTAAAAGATATAGGGTTACCTTGTAACTTTTTCCTAAATGTTGATTTAAAAGAGCCAACTTACCACTGTCAAAAATGTTAAACCCTCCTACCCCTAAAATATGCCAAGAGGTACCTAGTGATTTACATTCACAAAACAGTGTTATATGACACCTGGGGCTTTTATACTGCATCTCTTATTATTTCCTGCATCCTTTAGGAACACCTTACCTCTGTGCTTTCTGCCAGCTTCTCAAATAAGATCTTCCTATCCCATTTTCCCAAATCTTTAAAGAGATTCTATCTGGTTGTAAGGTTTGGTCATAACACAAATGTCACATGTGGCCTCCTGAACCTTTGCATCAGCTTCACCTTGAAGCCATACTTATGTTAAAGGTTAAGGAAGGATGCCCTGTAATGTTGTCAGCGCACCTTCACCAGCAAGTCAAGCTTGCTGATCAGAAACAACGTGCTCCCCAAGACAGACGGCAGCTGGGCACGCAAGACAGATGACAGCTACAAGCTGAATGTCTAGGAAATCAGGGTAATCACTAGCCCACTGGGTAGAACTCTGAAACTCTGTCAAAGGACATACTGACACAGTTTCAAATAATACCACACTGCTTTGAATGGTAGGCAGCAAGGCAAGAAGCAGACCATCCTGAGCTGCTCCTTCCCAGCAGTGACATCTACAAGGGCAGAGGGAGACGCAGAAGCAGAGGCAGAAAGGATGATTTTGTGCCCTTTGGGTAAAGCACAACTCATCACAAGTTATTCACTAGTGAACGTGTCAATTTTGCAGACACAGCAGGGGAGAAAAGCAAGATCATTTTTAAATATTAAAGTCCGTGTGTTATAAAATTTTACACCAAAAATGATTTTCAAGCATAAGATATTTTACCCATTAAAACAGAGTTTGGCAAACTGTTGCCTGAGTCAAGCCAGAAGCCTGTTTTCACACAGCCCCTGAGCACAGAATGTTTTTTACATTTTAATGTATTTTACATTTTTATTTATCTGGTTTATTTGAAAGAAACAGAGAGACCTCACATCCACTGGTTGACTCTCCAAATGCCTGCAATAGCTGGGGCTGAAACAAGCTGAAGCCTGGAGTCAAACACTCAGTCCAGGAGTCCCACGTGGTTGCTAGGAACTCAGGTACTTGAACTATCACCCACTGCCTCCCAGGGCATACATTAGCAGGAGGCTGGAATTAGGAGCTGAGCCAGGACTCAACCCAAGCACTCTGATATGGGACGTTAACCAATACACCAAATATCTGCCTCTGTATTCTCTTCTGTGTCGATACAGCATAGTGTGCTGGTTAAGAGCCTGGATTCTCAACTCAGATTCCTTGGCCTCAAATCCTCAGTGTTTGGAGGCAACTTTTTTTCATCTGTCAGGTGAACTAATCATAGTTTCTAAGTTATTATGGAGATTAAATGAGTTAATATTTATAAGATACTTAGAGCATTACCTGTTTTGTGTTAAGAACTATATAAACTTCTATAAAATAAAGGGTAGATTGCCTGACTCAAGTGTTTATCTCTCACCTTTCTTCTGGAGTTTCAGATGTTCAGAGGCATTCTTACCGGCTAGTTATCTTTTAAATGGGACGATTGCTTCCTTCTATTTGCTCTGGCTGGTTATTCATTAGAGCAACAAGAATCCCTGTGGCACTACATGGTAATAGGGTTGTATAGTGTCTACCCTTAAGGAGTGTATGCTTAGTTGTAAGGGCTAAAATGTACACACAGTTCAGGGTAAATTATGATGAGGGCCAATGGGATGTGGGATGTACTTAGATGGGGCCAGTGGAGGAAAGCTTCATGGGTATTTGAATTGGGCCTTGTGGTATATGTAGATATTTATAAATAGAGACAGGTGGAATACTGTTGGCAAATGACACTGTGCTAAAAATAATTGTAAAATACATGTGGAGTGAGTCAAGTGGCATGAAGGTAACACTAGATCAAATGATACAAGGACTAGTAGTCTAACAACTCTAACAACAAAATATTTGGTTGGTTCACATAGTTAACTTTCTAAGGAGAGCAGTTTGTATACCTTTTTCTGGAACTCTGATATCTTCATCTATAAAAAGTAAAGTAAATTAGTGGGTTTTTTTATTTTGTTGTTTATTTAACTGGCAGAGAGACAGAGATCTTCCATTCACAGCTTCACTCCCTGAATGTCCACAACAGCTGAGGGTCAACCAAACTGAAGCTAGGAGCCAGGAACTCAGTCCAAGTACCCTGTATGAGACTCTCAAGTATTCGGCCATTACCTGCAGCCTCCCAAGGTGCACATTAGCAGGAAGCTGGAATTGGAAGCAGAGCCAGAAATTGAACCCAGGATTTTTAATGTGGGTTGCAGGCATCTCAAGCAGTGTCATAACTGCTACACCAAATGTCCATCCTTGATTTTAAGTCTCCCTCCAGTTTGCAGATTTCATAATTATGTGTGTCCATTGGGTATAAAATATTGTTTAAAATTTTTTTAAAGATTTATTTATTGTATTTGAAAGGCAGAGTTATATAGAGGCAGAGGCAGAGAGAGAGGATGGTGGGAGGAGGGGTAGAGGTCTTCCATCCACTGGTTCACTCCCCAAATGGGAGAGCATGGATTTTACATAAGTGATGAAATGGAAACTAACATCCAGGAATTTTTGTGGTTGTCTTTCAGTGTAATTTTTGCTATATAATCTTGGAATAGATTTTGTATAGTATGTTACACTTGGATGGATTCTGAAGAAAAGGAAGTGTATTCCAGGCTGAGGAGAAGAGTCTGAGCAGAGTTGGGGATTTGGAATTGGATATCTGAGAATCATTACAGACACTGGCCCAGCCAGAGCAGAGCTTTTCTTGAACAGCGATGGGAAAAATGTTTGCATAACTTGAGTACTACCAGAATGTGAAGACCATCTTAGTGTTACATTTTCTAAAAATTGAAAACAATAAATGTATGTGTGAAAAAATTAAAATAACAGATATCATCATTAAATGCTGAATGAATGAATGAATGAAAAGTCTGAATCTTCAGTACCTCTTGATTCTCAATTTTTTCTCTGTGTTCATTTTAGCATTGTGTGCACCAAATGAGAAGACACTGCATGGCAAGTCTCTCTCTCATGATTTATTAACCACTTCCTCCTGAGAAAAATGTTTGTTGTTTCTAGCCTTTTGTTAGAACAATCAGTGCTGGAGTGAATATCCTTAAAATGTGCTTTTATATCAAAGTTTTATTTAAAAAAATAGTCCTTTATTCGTTTGAAAGGTAGACAGAGAGGGATTCTTCATCCATTGGTTCACTCCCCAAATGTTCACAACAGGCAGGCTGACTTCAGGAGTTCAGAACTCCATCTGGATCTACCATTTGGATGATAGAGACCCTAAGTTATTGAACCATCTTTGCTGCCTCCCAGGGTGTGCGACCCTAAGTAGTTGAACTATCACTGCTGCCTCCCAGGGTGTGCATTACAAGGAAACTGGAAATGGAAGCTGAAGTGGAACTCAAACCCAGTTACTCCAGCATAGAATGCAGACACTTCAAGTGGCATCTTCACCATTGTGCCATTCATCATATTTAAGAAACATTTTAAATCAAAACTGTACATGAATGTAGTTGATAAAGTCAATAGAGAAGGTCTGTGTTGAAAACGTGTTGCCTCATCCTTTATCACCACTAAGTTCTATACTCTAGACTACCCTTTTCACCTGTTTTAGTTTTTTCAAGCATTTATCTTTGCATAGATAAACAATATAGTTACACTGCTATTTTTTTATCTTTTTTTCCACTATAGACATTATTTCTTTTCTTTGTACTCAAAGATGTGTTTTCTTATTACCTATTCTCTGTTAACTTTGCACTAAGTGAGATGACTGGGTATAGAATTTGAGTAAAATATTCAGTTGTTATTTGGAAGATCTTGCTCCACTGATGTATAACATCACTTTTCACTGAAGTCTTATGCCATTCTGACTGCTTTTTAAAAATATATGTGACATCTGAATTCTATTATTTCTTAATCTCTAGAAATGATGAGAATCTTGTCAAGCTACCTTGGTGTTTCAAAGTTTCATTTTTGGTTACAAGTGTATCTGAAGGGTGAATTTCAGGCAATATAATTGTTTAGTTAAAGTTGGGTTCACTTAGAATTTTGATAAAAACTCTTAGATATAGCTAATCTTATTTTACTTTAGAATATTTTCTTACCTAAGCTCTAGCATTTCTCACAGAGTCTGGCTTTGGATTGGATCAGTGTCTTCCTTTGCATAGCGTGTCTAAACTTTCTGCAACTCTTTATTGGCATTCTTTTGAAATTAGCACAACCCCCTAACACTGTGACTGTTACACTTCTCTCCTTGTTCCCTCCCCCAGTGTACACAGGTGCATGTGTATACACCCATGCACACACACACACACCTACTTATACAAATTTCCTGTATCTTTCCTCACTTATTAATGACAAAAATATATTCTAGCTCACTAATTAGAATAAGTAGTAAAACTGAGCCATAATTTGTAGATGTTAAATCATTGCTAATTACATGATAACATCTTATTGCTAGAATGAGGGGTAAGAACTATAGATAAAATATTCAGAGTCAAGTTAGAGAGGAAACTTAAAAGAAACAGATCATGGCATTTATTTATTTTTACTTTTTAAAGATTTATGTTACTTATTAAGAATGACAGATAGAGAAAGGGAGAAACAGAAGAGATCTTCTGTCCACTGGTTAACTCCTCAATGGACTGACCAAAACCTGGAGCCTAAAACTCCTTCTGCATTTCCCGAGTAGGTGGCAGAAGCCCAGGTAATTGGGCCATCTTCCACTGCTTTCTCAGGTGCATTAGCAGGGAGCTGGATCAGAAGTGGAACCAGCTGGGAGTCAAACTGGTACCCACATGGGATGCCAGCATTTCAGATAGTGGCTTAACCCACTGTACCATAATTACTCCCATCCCCCCCCCCCTTTTAAAGATTTATTTTATTTACTTATGGAGAGGCAGAGAGAGAAAGAGATCTAGAATCAAGGCACTCAGTCAGTTATTACCAGAGAAAGCCAAAAGATTGTGGACTGCATCCTGGGAGGTATGCCTACCTTATGAAATGGGAAAAGCAGCAGTTAAGGTAATGCTGAAGTAGGTAGATAGAGTGTGCAACAAGAAAATTAAAACTCAGTGTAGGGCAAGGTTTCAGAGAAAAAAGCAACTCAGAATTATTTAACAGGAGACTGACGACCCAACAATGCTTTGGAGGGTAGTTCCTACAGAGTGGTAGGAGGTAAAGTTAGGAAGGTAAGGATGTAGGAGTGAACACACGTTTAGGAACTTTTTTTCATTCAAGAAAAGAAAGCACTGGGGCAAATTGAGACTGGGCCAAGTATATTTTTTAGGTTTCCTATACATGTTTAGAGGTGACTTGAAGAAGAAAGGCAGGCCACTGCTGTGACACAGCAGGTTAAAGCCCCAGCCTGCGGCGCCGGCATCTCATATGGGCGTTGGTTCGTGTCCCAGCTACTCCTTTTCTAATACAGCTCTCTGCTGGGCCTGGGGAAGCAGTAGAAGCTGGCCCAAGCCCTTGGGCCCCTGCACCTGTGTGGGAGACCTGGAAGAAGCTCCTGGCTTCTGGCTTTGGATCAGCTCAGCTTTGGTTGTTGCGGTCATTTGGGGAGTGAACCAGTGGAATGGAAGACCTCTCTCTCTCTCTCTCTCTCTCTCTGGCTCTACTTCTCTCCGTAACTCCTCTGTCTTTCAAATAAAATAATCCTAAGAGAGATATTGAAATAAAATATAAGTGACATTAATAAAAAAAGAAGAAGAAAGGCTACTATAATGATAAGAATGGAGTATGTTAGAAGGGAAGATCATGACTGAAGGAGATCTTAGTCTCTGAGACTGGAGGGGAGGTAAGATCAGTGGTGAAGAGATAGGAATGTTTTGGATAGTGAAAAGTTCATACATTTAGCTCTACTAAGCTTAATGAAATAAAGGAGCATGGAAACTGATTGTTTTGAATAAACATCAATTCATTTGTTTACCCAGGGAACACCCAATACCTCACTTTGGTAGAGATACAAAGAGGAATAAAGAGACCAGTTTATGTATCTTTCTACATTTTATATTGTTATTCATATGCTTATCCAGCATTGTATATTGATATTCATGAGTGTCTAAGAGATTAGCAGAATAAGGGTGTTGGCAAAAATGGCCCTGAAGCAGTTAAATTTATGACCTGGCGGCTGGCGCCGCGGCTCACTAGGCTAATCCTCCGCCTAGCGGCGCCGGCACACCGGGTTCTAGTCCCGGTCGGGGCGCCGGATTCTGTCCCGGTTGCCCCTCTTCCAGGCCAGCTCTCTGCTGTGGCCAGGGAGTGCAGTGGAGGATGGCCCAGGTGTTTGGGCCCTGCACCCCATGGGAGACCAGGAAAAGCACCTGGCTCCTGGCTCCTGCCATCGGATCAGCGCGGTGCGCCGGCCGCAGCGCGCCGGCCGCGGCGGCCATTGGAGGGTGAACCAACGGCAAAAGGAAGACCTTTCTCTCTGTCTCTCTCTCTCTCACTCTCCACTCTGCCTGTCAAAAAAAAAAAGAAAAAAAAAAAAAAAAATTTATTTACATAGGTAGGGAATTCCAAGGAGCTTACAGACTGATTGGAGATTCTCCTCTTGATCAGTAGCATGAAGGTGCAGGTTTGGGCAGGATACTGCAATGAAAGAGAGGAAGGCTGTTAATGCTAGGAGGAAGTGAGATAATACCACTTTTGAGATTCTAGAGGCAGAGCTGGAGTGAAGTAGAACTGAACTTATTTGATTGGAAAAGAAGTTAGGTTTGCAAGGTCAAATAATGTACAAAAATAGGAGTAGCATGAATGTTGTAAAAGCAATCATTTTGATTACTGTAGTCACAGAAGGCATATTTTTATCAGTGCATTCTTTGTAGTGTGAAAGAAAATTCAGATACTATGAGTTTTTAAAAAGTAATGGGTTTTATGCCAGTTAGCACTATTTTTAGTATTTTGAGAGTAATGTAGGTGTGTATTCTGTTTTCAAAGTTCTTTCTAAAAGTTCAGTTTCACTTTAATGTTCATATCTATTAGAATGTGCTATTTGATACTTTGAATCATTTGAAAAATGCAGTCTTTTTATTTATTTATATGTAATATGTGTACAAATATAACTGGTGTAAATACACAAATGTTCTAGTGGTAGTGTATTAAAGCACTTTATTTCTCTAGTTTGTTCTTGATATGTTATGTTCACTGAGTATAATGATTTGATGGATGTTTATTAGTAAGTACCTGTGCCTTAAGACGCTCAAGCGTAGTAGGGGTTTTGATAGACAACATTGGGGGTATTTTGTTTTTCCTTCTCTTCCCTTAATTATAGTGAATCTCATTCAGCCTGCAGACTGCCAACTTTGTATATTTTTCAGTTTTTCATTATTTAGTGACTGCCAGGCTACTTTATAAAGAAAAGATGTGTATTTTGTCTCAGTGATTTGGAGGTTCCCAGTCTTAAGATTGGGCAGGCCCCATTGGTTTATTCTCTGATGATGGCATTCTTGCTGCCAGAGTTCTGAGGTGGCAAGAGACAGAGCATGTAGCCATCTATCTCTTATAAAGTCACTAAGATTTGATCACGGGCATTCACCCTGATGACCTAATCCAGTCTAATTACTTTGAAAGGTCCTACCTATTAAAAATGTAATTAAGCTTTCATCCTCTCAGTACCAATATCATGAGACTTTAGGATCAAATTTTATGAATTTGTGGGCCAAATCATACTCAGACCATGGCAAATGGTTTACTTGTGCCACTCCTTGTTTGCACCTGCTGTTCTAGCATATGATCCAGTTGTCAGCCGCTTCATTGTCAGAAATGTTCTCATTTGGATAGTGTATATGTGATCATTCTACTTGTGGGTCATATTTTGAGATATGTGGTCTATACTTTAATCATTAAATAATGATGTACTTTAGTAGTTGAAAGAAGAAGCCTTTAGTTGGTTTTACTGCTAAAAGGTTTTGAGGTCCTTGAACGCAGTTGTTCCTTTCTTCAACTTACCAGCAAATACATCATAAAAAGTGTTAAATATGGTTGCTATTTGAATTCAGCAGGTGTGTTATGACAGAATATTTATCTGAGACATAATAGCCTTTCTAATAAATGCATCCTTAAAAATTTCGCTTTGAAAAAGAGAAATATGTAAGGTAGTATTGGGTGTTGGATTTATGAAATGTTAAACATGAAATGTTTATCTAAAAATGACCTAAGTCTTGATTGTTTTTCTTTTTTCAAATAGTGGTAATATTCTGAGGGAGCCTGTTTGCTTAGGAGGATGTGAACACATCTTCTGTAGGTGAGTAATTATGGTTTGATACATGTAGTATAACTCTATTTTTTGCTAGATAGCAATTATGTAATTATATTGAGAATAATAGTACTTACTATTTATGTAACTTTCAGAGCCTATAAAGTAATGTACTGTGTATTGTCTTTTTTTGATCCTTGTAACTATCTTAATTTACAAATAAGAAAATCAAAGCTCAAACAGAATTACTTGTCCAACATAGTAGTTTTGCTAAGCTTGGGGAAAAAATTAATGTCTTTTATATAATTCAAACACATATTTTCTTTAATCTTCAGGTTGAGTTTTTTTTTTTTTCCCTGAGTTTCTTTATGTGAAAGAGCAATAGAAAGACAGAAATATCTCCCATCTGCTGGTTCACTCTCCAAATGCCCGCAATAGCTGGAGCTGATCTAGGCCAAAGCCAGGTGCCAGGAACTTCATATGGGTCTTCTACGTGGGTGGCAGGGACCCAAGTACTTGGGCCATCATCTGCTGCTTCCTTATTCCTGTATTCATTAGCGGAAGTTGGGTTGGAAGTGGAGGAAGGGCTCCATCCCCCTCTCCAGTATGAAATGCAGGTGTCTTGAGTGGTGGCTGTTTTGCCTCACCAGCTAAGTCTTGAATCTAATCTTTGAAAATTATGTAAGTTCTTAGTGTTTATTGTATTAGTTTACCAAGGCTACCATTAGAAAATACCAAAAATTGGATAGTTTAACAACAAATTTATTGAGTCACAGTTCTGGGGGCTGGAAGTCCAGCATCAAGATGTTTACAGTATTGGTTCCTTCTGAGGGCTGTGAGGGTGGATCTGTTCCGTGCCGCTCCCTGGCTTCTCGTGGGTTGCTGGAAATTGTGTCACTCTTGGGCTTGTAGCTGTATCACTCCGATCTTTTCCTTCACATGCACATGGTGTTCTTCCTTGAGTTTGGGTGTGTTTGTCTCTGGGTCCAATTTCCCCTTTTTATGAGAATACCAGTTGTAGTGGATGAGGGTTCATCCTGATGAGCACATCTTGGGGCTGTTTTTGTTTTTTGTTTTTAATTTGTTTGAAAGGCAGAGTAACCAGGGAGAGACAGAAATCTTGTACCTGTTGGTTTACTCCCCAAATGGCTACAAAAGCCAGGTCTAAGCCAGGAGCAGAAACTCCATCCTCTCCTCCCATGTGGGTGGCAGGGGTCCATCCTCCACTCCCTTCCCAGACACATTAGCAAGAAGCTAGATTCGAAGTGGAACAGCCATTACTTGGTACTCTGATATGGAATGCCTGTGTTGCAAGCTGCCCACTGGAGTACAATGCCAGCCCCTGATGGTTTCATCTTAACTTGATCATCCACAAGGACTATTTTTTTTTTTTTAAGATTTATCTTATTTATTTGAAAGAGTTACTGAGAGAGGGAGAAACAGACACAAAGAGAGATTTCCCAAATGACCACAATGGTCAGGCCTGTGCCAGGCTGAAGCCAGGAGCTTTATCCAGGTCTCCCACATGGGTGCAGGAAACAGAGCACTTGTGCCACCTTCTACTGCTTTCCAAAGCACATTAGCAGGGAGCTGGATCAGAAGAGGAGCAGCTGGGGCATGAACCAGTGCCCATATGGGATGCTGGTCTCACAGGTGGAGGCCCTATTTTTAAATTAGCTTATATTCACAGGTACAAAAGATAAGACCTCAGTATCTCCTTGTGGTAATCGGGAGTGAAGCTGAGAGTTGAACTCAGGCACTCTGATATGGAATGTGGACATCGCAAGTGGCATCTTAACTGTGGCCTGAATTGCCTACCCCATAGAGTTTAACTTATGTTAACTTATGAATACATGGCTGTCTGGCATAAACAAACTACATTCTGAAGTGTAAGCATATTTGAGAATAATTTGGTGTGTGACTTTATTGGGCTGAGAATCTATGGGAGATAGGATGCTTGAGGTCCAAGATTTGTTTCTAGAAACATCTGTTACATGGGGCAGGTCCAGCATGAAGGTGTGGTCGGAAATAGTATCTTTTGCCTACCTGTTGTCTCCATCTGGATGACGGGAAGGCATTTTGCACTTCATGTGTTCAGAGCAAATATCTTGGTCTTCTTCAATCTGTTCTGACCTGGGACATTGTCATCACAATAAATGATACCAGTGAGTATGAAGCTGCTCAAGTAATAAAACCTTATTGTTCTTTTGTCTTTTTCCCTTGTCACTAAGTTCTGAGTTGTACCTCAAAATGTTCCCTGAAATCGTGAACTTTCACATAAGCCTCCATCATATTACTTCTCTTCAGATTGTTGTAGTAGTTCATAACTGGCCTCTCCTTTTTGTCATCATTACTGCTTCCCTATTTCCTGCATTCTTATCAGTGATTTTGTTTTATAGAGTTATTTCATCTTTTTGAAAGACAGAGTTAGAGAGGGGGAGAGGGAAACTGAGAGGGAGAGAGAGAAAGATCTTCCACTTGCTACTTCACTGCACAAATGATTGCAATGGCTGAAGCTAGGAGCCTGGAGCTCCATCTGGGTCTCCAATGTGGGTTTCATGGACTCAAGCACTTGAGCCATTTTCTGCTGCTTTCCCAGGTGCAGTAGCAGGGAGCTGGATGGAAACAGAACAGCCGGACTTGAACTAGCACTCCAGAGTGGATGGTGGTGTCTCAAGCAGCAGTGTAACACACTGCACCACAATGCTGGACCCCTCTTATCATAATGTTTTAAAAATATAAATCATAATTACCCTACTTCAAATCCTTCCATCTCTTTCTATTTCCATTAGAATAAAATCCAAATTTTGTATTCAGGAACACAGTACCCTGCGTGTCTCTTAGGCCTCACTTTGCTATGGGTCAAACTCTTTTAGCCACCTTCTTTTCTTTATTATTATTTTATTTATTTATTTGACAGGTAGAGTTATAGACAGTGAGAGAGAGAGAGACAGAGAGAAAGGTCTTCCTTCCGTTGGTTCACTCCCCAAATGGCTACTATGGCTGGCACTGCGCCAATCCGAAGGCAGGAGCCAGGTGCCTCCTCACGGTCTCCCATGCGGGTGTAGGGGCCCAAACACTTGGGCCATCCTACACTGCCCTCCTGGGCTACAGCAGAGAGCTAGACCGCAAGAGGAGCAACTGGGACTAGAACCTGGCACCCATATGGGATGCTGGCGCCACAGGCGGAGGATTAACCAAGTGAGCCACGGCACCGGCCCCTAGCTACCTTCTTTTATTTCATTAAACACACTTGACTTGTTTCTGTCTCTGAACTTTTGCAGTTGCTATTTTTTTCTGCATGGGATATACTTCTGCTGAATTTTTTTGAGGGTAGTTTTTTACCAGATACATTTCAGCTCAAATGTTACTATCTCCAAAATGCTTCCCATTACCTCTTTATGAGTGATTACCATCTCTTTCCACCACACCCCCCACCCCAATGCCCACTGCAAGCCATTTATTTTGTTTCAGTGCAATAGTGATCACTGGGTTAATGACAAAGCAACTAGAGCGTAGTGCCTAGTGGTAGGCAGCTAGGGCCTTTTCTGCTATGAGTCTATTCTGTTGTGATATGTTGTTTTCAGATTGAAGTCTGTGACGATAGTCTGGCATGTCAGTAGTTGTGAAAAGGAGAATTTCAACAGCTTTTTTAGATCATTATGGATATTCTTTTTTGATACTAAACCAAAATTTGACAAGTACTAGTTTCTTTAAAAAGGCTTATCACAGTGTGGAATTTGAAAATATATCAGTAAATTTTGTGTCCTGTTATATTAAATTGAAGTGGTTTATCCTGTATTTTGAATTAGTTTTTCACCCAGCATGATTTTATAGCATCATACATTGGTCACTTGGGGAAATATTGGATCACTGAGTAACGATTTATCGAGAAATGCCATATTTCTCTAGTGTTTTTGATTAATGTATATAAAGTAATTTGAAAGTAGTTTACACATTGTAGGAAACAGGCTGGCATCTGTATTTTGAAAATCCATAAACCAAAATGCTCTGAAATCTGAATCTATGAGTGCTGGCATGATGCTTTAAAAGGTTCAGATCCTGGATTTTTGGATTTTTCAGATTAGGGATGCTTAACCAGTAAAGACCATGCACATATTCCCAAAATAGGGAACTCCAAAGTTTGAAATACTTTTGGTCTCAACATTTTTGGATAATGGATATTCAACCTGAATGTCAGATAGATTATTCTTAGTAATAGGTGCAATGCTGTGTAAGTGACTTAACCAACTGAATCTTATTTTTCCCATGTGAAAATGAAGTGGTTTTTGATAAGTGAATCTCAGATTGTTTTTTATAGATATTAATGGTAACCCTCAAATAATTAAGTGGTGCACAATAATAGATGATTTAAATAACCTGAATAGTCACTTGTGTTAGGATTACAAACTGGGGCCGGCGCTGTGGTACAGCGGGTTAAAGCCCTGCCCTGAAGTGCTGGCATCCCATATGGATGTCAGTTCTAGTCCTGGCTGCTCCACTTATGATCCAGCTCTCTGCTATGGCCTGGGATAGCAGTGGAAGATGGCCCAAGTCCTTGGGCCCTTGCTCCCATGTGGGAGACCTGGAAGAGGGTCCTGGCTCCTGGCTTCGGACTGGCACAGCCCCTGCCATTGTGGCCATCTGGGGAGTGAACCAGAGGATGGAAGACCTCTCTCTCTGTCTCTACCTCTCTCCGTAAAAAAAGGATTACAGTTAGAGTTCCTAATTATGAACAAACAAACTCACAAAAGTTCCTTTGCCTAGGAAATTTGACATTTATTGAGCTCCATGACATTTTTGAGCTAGATGATTACAAAGGTCTTTCCCAACACCATTATACATTACAGATTCACTTTCAACATTTTTTAAAAAATACTTTATATCAGGAATCATGCTAGGAGCTAAGGATACAACAACTAGAAATGGCATAGTTTTGTATAAGATGATTCCTATTGTAAGAATCCTTTGTGTCTGCAAATGAGTTGAAAGAGTGGGAGGAGATGTGGCTTTACAACCCATTGTATCACCTAATCTTGCTGGAGCCCAAGTGGAGGGCTACAGAAGGAGTGTATCTATAGGGTTCTTATTTTGGAAGTCACAGGTGGGTTTTGGGCAATTGTGAGCCCTGTAGTAGTCTATTTTCTGTTGCCAGTAACACAAACTGGATCAGTAGTAAAGAAGGGGAGTTCATTTTGCCTATGGTTCAGGAGGAACAAGGCTGCATCTGTATTGGCACAGGATATCATAGAGCAAAAGAGAGCGGAGCACCTTTGTCTCTTCTGGTCTATTTCCCTCTTATAAAGCCACCAAAACCTACCTCACGGTCTCTTGACCTTCCCTAATACCTCAGAATGGGAGCCGAACCCCTACTCATGAAGCCATGTCTAACCATGACAACCCTCCTCTCTTTTTTTCAGCATTGTGTTTATGATTTAATCAGATTTACAAAGGGTTGATAATCTCAAAAGTTAGTAAGACCTTTCTATTCCAGCTGTGAGACTAATATTTATTTAACTCACAGTCATTGAGAATATGTGGGTTATAAACTGTCAGAAAGAAACAAAGATCTTTTTTTTTTTTTTAAAGATTTATTTATTTGAAAGTCAGAGTTACACGGGGCTGGGGGGGTGGTCACTCTCCAATTGGCCACAATGGCCAGAGCTGTGCTGATCTGAAGCCAAGAGCTTCTAGGTCTCCCATGTGCGTGCAGGGACCCAAGGACTTAGACCATCTTCTACTGCTTTCCCAGGCCATAGCAGAGAGCTGGATTGGAAGTGGAGCGGCCGGGTCTGGAACCGGTGCTTCAGGCCAGGGCATTAAACTGCTGTGCCACTGTGCTGGCCCCCGAAGACCCTTTTTTTTTTTTTTTTTTTAATTTATTTGACAGGTGGAGGTATAGACAATGAGAGAGAGAGAGACAGAGAGGAAGGTCTTCCTTCTGTTGGTTCACTCCCCAAATGGCCGCTACGGCCGGCACTGCACCCATCCAAAGCCAGGAGCCAGGTGCTTCTTCCTGGTCTCCCATGCGGGTGCAGGGGCCCAAGCACTTGGGCCATCCTCCACTGCCCTCCCGGGCCATAGCAGAGAGCTGGACTGCAAGAGGAGCAACTGGGACTAGAACCTGGCGCCTATATGGGATGCCGGTGCCGCAGGCAGAGGATGAACCAAGTGAGCCACCGCACTGCGAAGATCTTTTCTTAAAAACTACTTTAAAGCCTTTAGTCAGTAATCCAAAAACAAAACAAAATATAATTTTTTTCCAGGCTCTTTGAAGTACTTCCAGGTATTTCCATGAAATCAGGAGTTAAGGGTTAAGATGGGAAAGGCTAAGATGCAAGTCCATTGTGTATAAGGTACTAGATTTGTCATTTATCTCTCTCTAATCTCACACTTTTCAGAGGATGTCATCCTTTAGATTTATGTACAGGTAAGAATTATGCAGACTGATGTGAGGCTAAATATAGTCTCTTCATAATAAATTATATCAGTAAGTTTAAATTGAGATTACACATGTATTCTATAAAGCACACTATTTTAAAAAGTATTTTATAGTGACTATTGTAATAATATCCTCAGCTTCATTTTTTTACTGCTCAAACTTTATTTTTGGTATTTAGATTCTGTTGAATGTGCTGATTTTTTTCTTTTGAATTCTATTAAAGTAACTGTGTAAGTGACTGCATTGGAACCAGATGTCCAGTGTGCCATACCCCAGCCTGGATTCAAGACGTCAAAATAAATAGACAGTTGGGCAGCATGATCCAACTTTGTAGTAAACTTCGAAATTTGCTCCATGACAATAAGCTTCCAGGTGAGAAATCCTGATTTTTTTCATAGCTATATCATGGTGGAATTCATATTGATCATATAAAGTATATAAAAGATTTACCAGAAATTCAGAGTGATGTTTCAGATTTTAAGAACTATAGTGGATTTTGTTTTTTGTTTTGGTGTCATCTTAAGAAGAGGAAATGTAGAGATAAGTAAATCTAAATCCCTTATTTATTTTTCTTTTGTTTTAAAGTTTGAAAAATTTATTTTCTTCCATTTGAAAGATTACAGAGGGAGAGTGAACGAGAGAGAGAGAAAGGGAAATCTCATCTACTGTTTCACTTCTCAAATACTTGGAACGAAAGAGCAGAGCCATGCCAAAGCCAGGGGCCCCAAACTCTCTCCTAGTTTCTCATATGGGTGGCAGGGGCCCAAGCACTTGAGCCATCATCTGCTATCTCCTGGGATGCATTAGCAAGAATGCAAGATGGGAAACAGAGTAGGCAGGACTTGAACTGGCACTGTAATGTAGGATGCAGGCATCCGAACCAGTGGCTTAACCCATTGTGCCACAATGCATGCCTCTAAGTCCCTTTATAGATGAGGAAACAAGGTGCAAAGAAGTTACATTGCCTGTGGTCGTACTGGTGTAAGAAGCAGTTTCCACTACTTTTTTTTTAAAGATTTATTTATTTGAAATTCAGAGTTACACAGAGAGAGAGAGAGGAAAGGCAGAGAGAGAGAGAGAGAAAGAGAGAGAGGGAGGGAGGGAGGGAGAGGTCTTCCATGCACGAGTTCACTCCCCAGACTCCCCAGATGGCCACAATGGCCAGAGCTGCAAAGCCAGGAGCCAGGAGCTTCTTCCTGGTCTCCCATGTGGGTGCAGGGGCCCAAGGACTTGGCCATCTTCTACTGCTTTCCCAGGCTATAGCAGAGAGCTGGATCGGAAGTGGAGTAGCCAGGTCTCAAACTAGCGCCCATATGGGATGCCAGTGCTTCAGACCAGGGCGTTAACCTGCTGCGCCACAACGCTGGCCCCTCCACTACTTTTGAAATCTGGCTTTCTACAGTTACGATGATTTCTGTAAAATATATATGGAATAGTGATTTTGTCTTTCATAGTGCATAATTTACTGAAATATACTTTTGCAAGATAAAATACAACATTTTTCCATGTTTCACTTTGCTAGACTGAATTAATTAGATGATTGCATTTTGAAAGAACAAAAATCTAATATTCATTTTCATTTCTATTAAAATGGGGGTTAATGTTTTTCAGATTGTTCTTAGGCTCTGTGTATTAACTATATATCGTCCCATTGTGCTTTCTGCTGAGAACTAATTGACTGTGGAAAGAAAGTAAAATGTTTTGAATCTTCATAATTGGGTATTGGAATTGTCTTTTTATTGATCAAATGGCATCATTTTAGTGTGCATTTATAGGAGAAGCTTTTCTTAACTAGTAGTAGGCTGGCATTATGACTGAAAATACAAAGGTATTTGGCTTCTTTTTTTTTCTTTTTTTTAAGATTATTCATTTATTTATTTGAAAATCAGAATTACAGAGAAAGAGGGAGACAAATAAAATGAGAGAAAGAGATCTTCCATCCCCTGGTTCACTTGCCAAATAACCCCAACAGCCAGGGTTAGGCAAGGGTGAAACCAGGAGCCAGAAGCTTCTTCCAGGTCTCCTACTTAGGTGCAGGGGCCCAAACACTTAGGCCATCTTCTACTGCTTTCTCAGTTACTTTAGCAGGGAACTGGATTGGAAGTGGAGCAACTGAGATTTGAACTGGTGCCCATATGGGATGCTGACACTGCAGATCTTGGCTTAACCCACTGTGCCAGAGTGCCAGCCCCCAAATTAGTAGGTTTCTGTTTTTATATCTTTCATTCTGTGAATTCTGATAATGATGTTACTGTCAGATACCGAAGATGTAGTTGATTGAGAAAACTAAAGAAACAAGACAGATTCTTCAGTTCTGCTGACTAGAATCCATCTTTTTAAGGAGAATTTAAATCATAGTCTACTTATCAAAAGTTTTCTTCATCTAGTTCTTTACATCATTGTCTTAGATGCCATTGTTTTATGTTAAATCGTGCTACTGTGCCAAAATTTTACTTGTTTCCAGATGTAAGTATATACACATTTTTTTTTAAAGTGAATATTGGTTTTAAAAAATAATAGCATGGGGCCAGTGCTATGATGTAGTGGGTCTTTTGGCTCCTAGCTTCGGATCAGTGCAGCTCTGGGCATTGCGGACATCTGGTGAGTGAACCAGCGGATGAAATCTCTCTCTTTCTCTCTCTCTGCCTCTGCCTCTCTGTAACTCTGCCCTTCAAATAAATAAATAAATATTAAAAAAGAAGATAATATTTGGGGCCAGCACTGTGGCATAGTGAGGAAAGCCGCCACCTGCAGTGCCGGCATCCCATATGGACGTCAGTTCAAGTCCAGGCTGCTCCACCTCTGATCCAGCTCTCTGCTATGGCCTGGGAAAGCAGTAGAAGATGGCCCAAGTCCTTGGGCCCCTGTAGCAGTGTGGGAGACATGGAAGGAGCTCCAGATTCCTAGCTTCAGATCAGTGCAGCTCTGGCCATTGTGGCCATCTGGATAGTGAACCAGTGGATGGAAGACTTTCTCTCTCTCTCTGTCTCTGTCTCTTTGTAACTCTGCTTTTTCAAATAAATAAATAAATCTTAAAAAAAATTAATATGATCATAAAACTCTTGAAGAACACATGAGGAAAATTTTTGTCATTAGTTCATCTGAACTCTTTCTTTTTTAGAGGAAATACTGATAGTGTTTTTTTTTTTAAGTTGAAAGCATTAGTGTATGATCTTGCACCCTCTCCATCTCCCACCACCTGTCTCCTGTAAATAGCCATGGCTGGTAGGAGGGGTTCCTAATCAAGGGTGCATGCATCTTTGGCAGTGTTTGGATTTGGGTGTGGGGAAAAATCAGTGAACACTTGGCTTAAGTGTACAGTACCAAAAATAATCATGTGTGGGTCTTTCACTAGATTTTTTTTTTTGCTGTTGTTAAGATTTATCTATTTTAAAGACAGGTTTCAAGAGAGAGACAGCTATTTTTCCATTCATTGGTTAAGTCCCCAAATGACCATAAAAGCCCAGGCTGGGCAAAGCGAAAGCCAGGAGCCAGGAGCTTTATCTGGGTCTCCCACTAGAGTGCAGGATCCCAAGCACTTGGGCCATCTTCCACTGCTTTCCCAGGCACATTAGCAGGGAGTTTGATTGGAAGTGGAGCAGTCAGGACTTGAACTGGCCGCACATGGGATGCCAGTGTTGCAGATGTTGGCTTTACCTGCTGCGTCACAATGTGGGCCCCAGCTTCTAATAGATTCTTAAGGATGTGTCATTTGTTAGTATTATTAGCCATGCACTGAAATTTAGCACACTATTTGATATTTGTGACTGTCAAGATACTCTGATTTGACTCGACTCTTTTTTTTCCCCAGAAACCTTTTAATTAAGGTATACAAACTTCATGCATTTTATAAATATAACTTTAGAAACATACTGATTGTGATTCTTTCCAGTGTACCCACCCACTGCCACTCCCACCCTTCTTCCTCCTCCCTCTCCTATTCCCATTCTTATTGTTTACTAAGATCTATTTTCAATTAATTTTATACACAGAAGATTAACTCTGTACTAAGTAATGTACAAATACTAAGCAAGCACAAATAGTATGAAAAATAAAACGGTTCCTCGATAGTTTTTTGATTTCTATTTTGATTTCTTCTATGACCCATGTTCATTCAGGAGCATGTCGTTTAGCCTCCATGTGTTTGTATATGTTCTAGAGAATCTTGAGTTGTTGATTTCCAGTTTCATTCCATTGTGGTCAGAGAAGATGCGTAGTATGATTTCAATTTTTTTGAATTTGCTGAGACTTGCTTTATTACCTGGCCTGTGGTCTGTTCTAAAGAAAGTTCCATGTACTGGTAAGAATAATGTGTATGTATTTTGCAACTGTAGGATAAAAAATTCTGTAGATATCTGTTAGGTCCATTTGGTCTATAGTGTCAATTAACTGTTGTTTCCTTGCTGATTTTCTGTCTGGTTGATCTGTCCATTGCTGAAAGTGGGATATTGAAGTCCCCTGTTATTATTATAAGGGAGCCTATGTCTCCCTTTAGATTCATTAATATTTCTTTTAAATAGCCAGGTGCCCTGTAATTTATTATAGTCACATTTTCCTGTTGAATGATTCCTTAATCATTTCATAATGCCCTTCTTTGTCTCTTCTAACAGTTTTTATGTTAAAGTCCATTTTGTCTGATAGCTACACCAGTGCCTTTTTGGTTTCTGTTATCATAGAATATCTTTTTCTATCCTTTTACTTTAAGTCTATGTGTATCCTTTTGGTGAGATATGGTTTCTTATAGGCAGCAAATAGATGTTCCCCCCGCCCTCCACTTAGTCAGTCTATCTAGAGAGTTGAAGCCATTTACACTCAGGGTGACTATTGATAAGTAATGACTTAGCCCTGCCATTTTTTCCATAAATATTCTTATTTTTTACTTTGGATTTCCTTTATACTTTTACTGGGATATTTTCTGCCTTCATCTTCTTTCATAATGATGGCCGTGTTTCTGTGTTTTTGTGTGTAGCACATCTTTAAGCATCTTTTGTAAGACTGGATGAGTTTTGACAAATTCTTTAAATTTCCATTTGTTATGGAAGATCTTTATTTCACCTTCATTCATAAATGTGAGCTTTGCAGGGTACAGTATTCTGGGTTGACAGTTTTTTCTTAAGACTTGGAATATATCCCATCATTCTCTCCTAGCCTATTGGGTTTCTGATGAGAAGTCTGCTGTGAGTCTAATTGGAGATCCTCTGAAAGTAATCTGGTGTTTCTTATGCACATTTTAGAATCCTTATGTTTTACTGTGGAGAGTTTGACTACAATGTGTCATGGTGAAGGTCTTTCCTGGTCATGTCTATTAGGAGTTCTCTGTGCTTACAGTACTTGGGCTTCCCATTCTTTCTCCAAATTAGGGAAGTTTTCTG